AGCAGTTGCACCAGCACTCTCACAGGACTGCTGCTGCTACTGCCCTTGCTGCAGTGAAGAGCTGGCTGCCTGCTCCAGCCTCTGAGGCACCACTAAGCCCTTCTCTCCTCTCTCTTCTCTCTCTGGTGCCCTTGGGACCCCCGCCCCTCACATTGCTCTCTCACATTCTCTCTCTCTCTCTCTCTCTCTCTCTCTCTCTCTCTCACACACACACACACACACACACACACACACACACACTTCTCTCATACCTCCGGTACTTTAATTCACCCTCAATACAGTATTTCTTTCTACTCACAATCTCTCTCACACTTACTACATCTCTTTTCTCTCCCACATACAGCCCTCCCTCCACCTCTGCAGTCTTTCCCATATTCCCCCCTCCCCTCCCGTCTCTGGTCTCTGTCTCTTGTCTTCTCTCCTCCACACCACCCCTGGCGCTTAACTGGAAACAAAAGTGAGTTTGTTGTGACCTGGTGGGGAAGAGGACGTTTGGAGGCTGTGGCCAGGGGGCAGCAGCAGAAACAGACTGGGGCCAGAGGCAGTGCCAACAGCCGGAGACCCCAGCACTCAGCCATTCCAGGGAGCAGGTAATGTCCCAGACAGAGCTACTTCAGGCATCCTGCTCTCTGCCCTGTCTCCTCTTTCTGTGATTGTTTCATTTACTTGTCTTCTTATTTGGCCTTGAAGGGGAAAGGGAATTCCAAGCTTAGGGAGCAGTAGGTACCAGGATCCAAGGAGTGAGGTGCCCTCCTCTTCAGAGAATTGTGTATGGTCTGATGTGGCTGGGGTCCAGGCTATCTGGGATTGAGGGTGGCTGGGGTCTGGAGTGTCTGAGGTCAGGGATGGCTGGGGTCAGGGGTATCTGGGGTTAAGGGTGACTGGGTTCCAGGGCAACTGGCTGAGGAACATGATAGAACCTAAGTAGGCAGGTAAGGGCCAGATCACAAAGGATGTTTTAAACCATGTCATAGACCTTCGGCTCTAGGTAATACAGAGCCTATTAAGGGTTTTTCATATAGAGAGTAACATGATCAAACCTACATTTTTGAAAGAGGAGTTCTTGAACTGTGATTTCATGGAGAACTGGTGTGTCTCTCAGAATCAAAAAGTCATAGTCTTCTCCCAATTTAAAGAAAAAATAAGGTTATTTGTTCAATTAGTTTTTCTTCTGTAAAATTTCCTTAACCTTTGATGTCTGCTAACAAGTATTAGCAACCAATAACCCAGTGAAAGGACTATGTTTAAAGTAATGGAAAAATTCAGAAATAACATTCATCTAAATAAATGTGGTAGATTGAGCTACATACAGATAAATTAATAGTATTTTCTGCTAGTAAAATTATTTATTACTCCTATGCAAAAGCTTTTACAGTGCTGCCCAAAGAGCACCATGACTCCCAGGAGTGTGTCACGTGTACATGTTTGAAATGTTTTAAAAGCAAACTTTGCTGCCACATAGGGAATAGAGGTGGATTATGCAACCAGAGACAGTGGGAGCAGTAAGAGGCTCTCACAGTGTTAGGAACAGGAAATAATGAGAACCTGAAATAAGATAGTGGCATTGGGTAGGAATAAAATGGAGAGAGCTGAAAAATATTTAGGAAGCAAGAGAAAGAAGTTAGTATTTGATTGGACATGAATGGTGAGTAAGAGGCTTCAGGAGGGAGTCCAATATTTCTTATCTCGATGGCTGGGTAGTTAGCAGTGCTATATCATTCAAAACAGAGAAGGGCAGAGTTAGGGTATTGGAATAAGGGAACCATTATGAATATATTGAAGTTGACTTGTGAAGGCTACCAGAACTCCCAGATGGAGTAATCCAGTTGACAGTTGGAAATGCTCAATATAGGCAGGTCTGGAGGCATGAGTGACCTCATCTATAGGGTGACACCATGAAGAACACAAGATGGTGTAGGGTGTACAAAGAGAAAAGAGAAGGCCAAGGAGAAATCTCAGAAAAGATGAAGATTTATGTAAGACAGGAAAGAGGGGCCAGGGAAAGATATTGAGGAGTCCTTGAAGAGATAGGAAAAAATATCAAGAAAGTACTGCATTATGAGAGCCAAGAGTAGCATGTCGGTTCAGAGGGAACAGTCAGCACCACTGATGACCCAAAGAGATAGGCCAGACCTGCTGGTTTGCTTGGTTTTATTAATTTACTGGTTTGAGAATAAGATAACAAGATCAATCTGAAGACAGGGTTGTATGCTCAGGTGCATAGCATAAATGAGATGAGCAGGGTATAGCAGGGAGTAGTGGGGGTTGTGGCAAACTAAGATACATATGCCCATTACACTGTGTGTCAACTATACTCAAAAGGACTTTTAAAAAATGGATATGCCCATCTAAAGGAAGCAGCCATCACTCAGTCCTAGTTGATTGTTGCCAGGAAGGAATGTAGGCACAGTCATCAGAGCATCTGAATTTTCAAGAAAAATCAGAAATCTGGATTGTTAAATGAAATATCATACTTCTTTATGTTAGCAATAATTTCAAAAAAACTTTTATACTCTGTGAGAACTAAATTAAGCATATCTTTGAGTTGCCAGTTTGAAATCTCTGTCCCTTAGAGTGATGGGGCTGAACCAGTTGCATCAGGTTGGAAAGTGACTGGGTAAGGAGAAGGTGGAGACCACTCCTTCAAGAAATTGGAGGGAAAGGAGAGCTTGGGTGGCAGGCAGAGTCAGGGAAGAGTGTTCCAGAGTAGGAAGGACTGTTTCTAGGCTGGGAGAAAAATAGTGGAGGGATGAAGTTGAAGACCAAGGTAAGGAAAGACTAGTTGATAAAATTATGACCCAGCAGAAGGGAATAAATGTGGCCAGAGATTAAGCTGGAGGAAGGACTCCTTTGTTCAAAAACCAACTACAAAGTGGTAAGGATACAGAAGAACTAGATGTGATCGATTTCACATCTAGAGGCCTTTAGTTCCTTGGTGGAGTAAATAGGAGATGGATCAAGAGGCTTGAAGAGAGGAGCAAAGGTTAAGAATGGCATCAAGGGGCATGCTGACAAGGATGAGTGGGAAGTGGCTGCACTTCTAAGACCTGTATTGTAGGATGGTTGTTTCCAGCAAGGCCCATGAGCCTGGGTGCTGGGGTTGGTGGTGAAGGGGATTAGTACCTGTTACACTCCAGGCCCATGTCATGTGTCTTATACTCCTTATCCGATTTATTTCCTTGTTCTTCCCAACAATGCTGCTCGCTCAGACTGAATTCACTCCTAAGCAGTGGCAACTCTTGGATTCACACTTATGTCTAGTTGGATTGCAAGCCCATTGTGCACCTCCTCTCTACCAGACCACAGTACCACACTGCCTCTCTCTGTGCCCCCAGGACAATCTTTCAGAAGTGACTGAGTCAATGAATTCTTGTTTGGGCATTGGCTGCCTGGTTTTACTGGGTAGTCAAGGAGTAAGAGTGGGGAGTACAATGACAGAGTAGTTGAAATTATTGACCATTGAGTATCCATGGGGAAATAAGTGAGGGTCAGTGGGTATGATAAATTGCAGGGATGCAGGGCCTTGGAGGAAGGGGAAGATTTGATGAAGCCCAGGAGACAGTCAATGAAAGACTGAACCAGGACAGGGGCAAAGGGATTGGTGAGGAGGGAAATATTCTTAAAAACTTTCAAATGGGGGTGGAGGTGAGAGAAAATAGTTGAGGTGAAGATGACTCCAGGGTGTCTAGCCTGTACAGTTGGGTAGACAGCCATGCTTTTAACCAAGGCTTTCCTCATCATGTCCTGCCCCTCTCTTGCTCACCATGCTCTAGGCACAATGGCTAGCACACTCTCACTTCAGGGTCTTTGAAACACATGGAGCACTCTTTTTTTTTTTTTCCAGAGGTGCAGAAATGGCTCATTCTCTTCCAAGTCACAATTCAAACACACATTCCCCACAGAGGTCTTCCTTAACCAATCTAATATAGTTCTCTGGTTGTTTTGTTTTCTTTTTCTAAGATTTTATTTATTTATTTGACAGAGTGACCACAAGCAAGGGGAGAGGCAGACAGAGGGAGAGGGAGAAGCAGACTCCCCGCTGAGCAAGGAGCCTGATGTGGGGCTCAATCCTAGGACTCTGGGATCATGACCTGAGCCAAAGGCAGATGCTTAACCCACTGAGCCACCCAAGCGCCCCTCCGGTTGCTTTATCTTTTTTTTTTTTTTTTTTCAGAATGATTATCACTACCTGAAATGATCATTTATACTTTTGTTTACCTGTTGATTATTTGTTTCTGCCACTAGAACAGACATTTGAGACAGCAAGGATGTATGGGCCTTCATCCCAGCTTTGTTTCCCAACACCTGGAACAATGGCATATAGTAGACTTTCATGAAATACTGAATGAGGGGAAGGAAGGAAGGGAGGCAGGAAGGGGAAGCATGTTGGGGAAAGGCACATGTTCATGTTGGAATGCTAACTTTTGAGGTGCCTGAGATACACCCAGGAGGTGACATCCCTGGGCAGTCAGAAAGCAGGCCAGGATCTCAGGAATAGGTTGTCACCTACCCATGAAGAAGGTGGGCTCTTGTGGCACACCGGTACAAGCATGTCCTTTCACAGATTGACTGCTTCTTCAAGGCCAACACTGGGAGTTGACTGGTTTGGGGCCCAGTGGGAAAAGGGGTCCCACTGGGTTTGGTATGCTGAAATTGGGTCAGAGTTTTTCTCACTTCTCACTTTTCTGTTTCCCATCCTTGCTGTCACCCAGCTTTGGCCATTTTCTATCCTTCTTCATTGTCAGCTACAAGACCCTGGAGTCTGAATCCAAACTAAAACCTTTTATACCTTTATCTCAAAGAATATCTCACTCACATCCAACTCCGAGTCCTGAGTCTAGCTTCACCCAGAAGCTGGACTTAGTTTTACTAAATTAGGAAATACTTTTCCCTTGAGCTTGGCTCTGGCTCCATTGTAATTGGCCTTGCAGCCCTTGTCCTCCTCCAGGCCATTCAGCAGATCCTGCTGCCCTTTTTTTTTTTTTTTTTTTTTTTTGCAGGGTCTCCAGCTGCTGAGCAGCTCCAGGACATCCTGGGGGAGGAAGATGAGGCTCCCAACCCCACCCTCTTCACAGAAATGGACACTCTGCAGCACGACGGAGACCAGATGGAGTGGAAGGAGTCAGCCAGGTGAGGTGCAGTCCTGGGGGAGGGGAGGTGGGGGCTCCCCCCTGTGGTCTGCCTGGGACCCAGGCTGAGCTGACCCTCCTGGTGGGAAGGACCAGTAACCAGTGGCATCTTGCACCTTGAGTTCTGCTGGGGCACTCTTTGGCCCCTAAAGACCTCCACATCTGCCTTCCTTGGTGTCCAGAACTAGACTGGACACTAAGGAGCAAACAGATACTTATCATTTTGTCTTTATTCTCAAATTAAAATCCAAGTGGGAAAGTAGAACAAACATACATGACACCATGAGAGAATAATAACAAGGACATATATTCTTTCTTGTCAAATGGTTCAAACTAAATGTGATAGAAGGGAAAGCACCAAGGAGCTAGGGTAGGCAAGGAGGGCTTCCTGGAAGAAAGAAATGTAGTCATGAAAAATCCAGGTGGAATGGTCTAGTGGGCCTCTGAAGCAGAGTTTGAAGTGGGACAAGCAGAGTGGAGCTCTGGAGGCACATGTGGGGTGGGGATGGGGGGACAGAGGAACTGTGTATATAGAATCAGTAGAAGGAAAAAAAAGAGTCGAAGACTGTTGAGGAACCACACGGTGAAGACATGGAGCCAAGGGAGGATTGGAGTGAGGAGCAGCGTTGGCCGTACCCAGTGGCTGGGACAGAGTGGCCTTCTACCTGAACTGGCCTGATCAGCAACACCAACTGCTGCTGAGAGTCTAAGGAAAAGGAAGGATATGGTAGGAGGTAGAAGGGCTGGTGAGAGAGAAGGGACCCTGGCAAGGATGTTGAGAAAGTCCGGAAGATGGACCATACCAATGTTTCTTGACCCTTTTTTTTGTATTAGTGTGCCCCTTACCCCTGAGAAATTTTAATTTAACTTTATTAAATTATTATTTGATTTATGTCTAATGAGAGGAATAAAATACTAAGGAACATGATTCTGTCAGATTGGCTTGAACTTTGGAGTACCATAAATCATGGTGATTGATATTTGAAATTTTTGCTCCCCCAAGACACCTTTGGGGCTATTGTTGCCCTAGTTGAGAATGCCTGGACTGTCACCTGTATCTAGGACTGGCTCTTCCCAGGCTGCTCCAACCATGGCCTGGGCTCTTCCCTTACCCATTAACCTCCCTCACCTGGGCAGTGACTCTGTAGAGTGGGGAAGAGCAGGTTTGGACATCCCCAAGCCTCTCCCCTACTAATCTCTCCCAGAAGAAAGGCCACTGAGTGGACTACCAAATCCCTGCTGGCCTTGGGGAAGGAATGAATTCCTAGCCTCCTGGCCTGCCAGAAGCCCTTGAGCCTTGACCTATCAGCCATTCACTGAGCCCTTACTATATGCTAGATAATTTCCAGGCTCCTCTCACTCAAGCTGCACATTGCCCCTAAGGAGGTGGGAGCTATTATGATCCCCATTTTATAGATGAGGATACTGAGGTTTAGAGGGCCATATAGCTTGCAAAGGTCAGTGTGCTGGCTGCTGAGCCTGGGATCTAGCCCAGGCCTGTCTGACCCTAGCCTAAGGGCTTCTGCACTTTGTGTGCTTTCCCTATTTTCTCAGCTACCTCCCTCCCCATTCCTCTAACTTCTAGAGACTCTGTTTGGGTTTCCATGGGAATACATGAGCCTGGAGGCAATTCCACTGGAATGGGACATAAATGGAGAAAGTCACAGAGACCAGAGCATCTATTCAGGACTGAGAAGAGAGGGGTAGGGCATTTTATTTTATTTTATTTTATTTTATTAAGATTTTATTTACTTATTCAAGAGAGACACAGAGAGAGGCAGAGACATAGGCAGAGCAAGAAGCAGGTTTCCTGCAGGGAGCCCAGTGTGGGACTCGATCCCAGGACCCTGGGATCACGACCTGAGCTGAAAGCAAACGCTCAACCATTGAGCCACCCACGCATCCCGAGTAGGACATTTTAAATGACCAGGGCCCGGTCTGGACTCCTGTGGCTTAATGTCTCTGAGGAGATCGTACTTCTCTTCCCTTCCTTGTCTAAGATGGGCAAATAGAAGGAATGTTGTGAAGGGCCTTCTCAGAGACCCAGGAAGAAGAGTGTGTTTTCCCCACTGGGCGAGGTCTGTATCTGGACCTGTAACAAGTGCCAGGACCAGACCTTCCATGAGGGCTTATCATGTACTCCCACAGAGCCTCAGGGCCCCCAGAGACCTGATTGTCTGTCATCCTAGGCAAAATACTATTTCTGATCTCTGAGAATGGATCCATAGAGCCTTCTGCACTATAGACCCTGTAATGAAGTTTATAAACTGTAGGAGATGATGTTTCTAGAAGGAGGCTCTTCCTGAAATATAAAGGGGTCTGATCTGAGTTACCATCTGCAAGCTGGTAGGTTTCCCTGCAAGGCTTTCTGAGGACAGCATCTGAGGTGATTATGGAAGGGTCCTGAGTAGACCTCAAACCAATAGTGAGAGGAAAGTTACGGCTCAGAGAAGTTGAAATGGCTGAATGCAATTCCAGGCAGATGTGAGGGAGAAGCAGCTTGGAGGCCAACTTGGGGATAGGAAGCCATGGGAGGAGAGGAGCTCTGACCTCCCTACCTTGAGTCCCCCCCCCCCCCGCCGCCCCTTTCTCTACCTAGCCTCCTTTAATCTTTTGTCCAGCTAACCTCATCAGGTCTCCAGCTCATTGCTGGAGGTATGACCAGCAAGCCTATAGAAAGGTCAGAGAGAAGGGCATGACCATTGACCAACATGTCCACCTTGGCCTGGACAGTTGTACTAAGAACTCCTCCAGACAAACCACAACAGTAAAGGTACCTGGGGACAGCTATATCCTCCCACAGAAGATCAGGAAGTATTTCCCTCGCCTGACAGGCTGGGAGATCTACTCCGGGAAGCTAGAGGTCTTAGAAGTCTCCAGAATCCAAGAATCTGCAAATCCTAGTGGGTTCTGGGCCTCCTTGGGGGTAACAGGAGAAAATGATGGTGGTGTGGGGAAGTGGACAACCCCTTACACAGACACTTAGGCCCTGGGAGAGTTGCAGGCCTATACCACATCAAAGGGAATGCAGGAAGGGACCCTTTAATAAAAGTATTTAATTTGCTGCAGGAGTGTTTGCTTTATTGAGTTAGGAGATTAACAGAGTGAAAATCTCAAATCCGCAAGGAATTTTCTCTGGTGGTACTTTGTCGGGGGTTATTAGTTTGGAGGATGTTTTGAGCCCTTGACGGATTTAAATGGCTTTTTGCGCTCCACTGAAGCCTTGCCCCTGTGCACATGATGGGGACTGTGTGTGCAGGCGTCACTTCTAGTGTGATCAATGCTAGTAGGTCAGGCTGTTAATAAGATAGATTTTTACTAACTCAGCCTCTTTAGCATTCCCGGGAGGAAAATGCAGCTGGCTGTTTGCAGATACTGACCTTGCCTGAAGAGAGGGCTGGGTCAGGTGGGAGTGGGCACACAACCCCCTCACTTCCAGCAAATAATTCACCCAGCATTCTGTCTTCTCTCAAGCCCAAGTCAGCCTGGCTGCGAGGACAGGAAGAGAATGACCTGGGCTGGAACCCACCCAAGTGTGGAGGGCCCTTTGGGGTTACTCAGAGACAGCCAAAGCTCAGAATCTTCCAAGAGTTCTCAGAGCAAATTCCAAATCCAAGCTGCCTCTGATCCTCCACTCAGAGTGGACCAAGTGAGTGAACTTTCCAGAGGTTCTTATGAGACATACCTGCTTTGAGGATGTCTGTGTGATAACCAGGAGAAGGGCAGAAAGAAAGGCAGGAAAAATGGGTCGCTTAATTGGGTCAAACCAGATCCATATATTTTCAAAAGCATCTTACTTGTGGAGATGCTTGCATACTTCCTATGTGATAGAGGGGGAAAGCCTGAGCTTTGTCTCAGCTTTGAAATTTCTCCCACTTAAGATCTTGTAAAATGCCCCCCTAGTATCATTTCCCTGCTTAGTCTGGGGCAGAAGGCACCCCCAGCCCTCTGCTCACTACTCACCTGTGATCACACGGATAAGTCCAGAGCGGCCTACTTTGTGGATTAAAGCAGAATAGGAAGCTGAGAACTCTTAGCACAGAAGTCAGCAAGCCTCAATCATGAATTTAACTATGTTTTTAAAAGATTTTTATTTACTTAGTTGAGAGAGCACGCATGTGCACATGCGAGCAGGGAGAGAGGCAGAGGGAGAAGCAGACTCCCTGCTGAGCAGGGATTCCTGACACGGGGCTCCACCCCAAGACTGACCTGAGCCACCTAGGCACCCCCATTCATTGAACTGTTATTTACAAAGTGTTCACTGTCTGTAAGCCTGAGCCAGCTGCTGGAGATACCAAAATGAACACAGCAGATACTGTCCCTGCTCACTTGGGCTTTCAGTTGAATGGGGCATAGAAGTGGATAAAAAGGCATTTGAGGATGGGGTGCTGTGAAAGCATAGTGTAGGGGCACCTAGCCCAGACAGCAGGGGTGAAGGAAAACAACCGGGAGCAAGAGGTATTCACCCTGAGACCTGAAAGATAGGTCAGAATTAGTGAGGAGAGGGTATGGAAGGGGGGAAAGGAGAGGTCCTTGGAGCAAGGAGGATGGACACACAAAGGAAAGGGCAGAAATACTCTGTGGCTGGGCTGCAGAGTGAGTGGCCAGAGTTTACACTAGGCTCCACTCTTGGTGTTGGACCTACTGTGGGTCTGGACATGTATAAGGACATGCATCCACTGTTATGGTATCATATACAGTAATTTCACTGCCCTAAATAACTTCTGTGCTCTGCTTATTTGTATCTCTCTCTCCCTTAATCCCTGGAAGCCACTGATCTTTTTACAGGATTTGAGACCTATCTTAACAGGGAGAATTGGCAGGGTTTAGTGACAGGTGGCATGTTGAGGATCAGGACAATCAGGGAGATGCCCAGCTTTCCAGCTCGAGCAAGCAGGTTACTCGGGATAGCAATTTAGGAAACACAAGAGGAATAGCAAGGTTTCATTTTGTTGGGTATTTTGTTTTGTTCTGGTGGATCTTGATGATGAGTTCCCTCTG